GCAGCATCACCATCATAATCATCATCATCATCATCATCATCATCATCATCATCATCGTCATCGTCATCAGCATCATCATCATCATCACCATCATCATCCTCATCATCATCATCATCATCATCATCATCATCGTCATCATCGCCATCGTCATCATCGTCATCAGCATCAGCATCATCATTATCGTCAGCATCATCATCAGCAGCATCATAATCATCATCATCATCATCATCATCATCATCATCAGCAGCACCAGTAGCATCATCATAATCATCATCAGCATCAACAACAGCATCATAATCAGCATCATCATCATCATCATCAGCATCATCAACATCATCATCATCGACATCGTCATCATCAGCATCAGCATCAGCATCAGCATCATCAGCATCATCATCATCAGCATGTCACCATCATCGATATCAGCAGCATCATCATCATCATCATCATCATCATCATCAACATCAACATCATCATCAGCATCAGTAGCATCAGAATCATCATCATCATCATCATCGTCATCATCATCATCCTCATCATCAACATCATCATCATCAGCATCATCATCATCAGCATCAGCATCAGCAGCGTCATCGGCATCATCAGCACCATTATCATCACCATCATCAGCATCGTCATCAGCATCAGCATCATCATCATCAGCATCAGCATCAGCATCAACAACATCATCATCAGCATCAGCATCATCGTCAGCATCCGCATCATCATCATCATCATCAGCATCGCCAGCATCATCAGCATCATCATCATCAGCATCATCAGCATCATCGTCAGCATCATCATCAGCATCAGCATCTGCATCATCCTCATGATCAGCATCATCACCATCATCAGCAGCACCATCATCATCGTCAGCATCATCATCAACATCATCCGCATCAGCATCATCCTCATCATCACCACCGCCATCATCATCATCAGGAGCAGCAGCAGCATCATCATCAGCATCATCATCATCGTCATCATCATCAGCATCATCAGCATCCGCATCAACAACAACATCAGCATCAGCAGCATCATCATCATCATCATCATCATCAGTATCATCAACATCGTCAGCATCATCAGCATCATCGTCAACGTCATCAGAATCATCCTCCTCATCATCATCAGCTGCAGCAGCATCATCATCAGCATCATCGTCATCATCAGCATCATCAGCATCATCATCAGAATCAGCATCATCATCAGAATCATCAGCATCATCAGCATCAGCATCGTCAACCTGCTCCTGCTCCTGCTCCTCCTCCTGCTCCTGTTCCTGCTCCTGGTCCGCTCCTGGTCCGCTCCTGCTCCTGCTCTTGCTCCTCCTCCTCTCATCCTCCTCCTTCTCCTCCTCCTCCTCCTACTACTACTACTACTTTTCCTCATCATCCTCCTCCTCCTCCTCCGCCTCCTCCACTTCCTCTTCCTTCTCCTCCTCCTGCGCCTCCTCCTCCTCCTCATCCTCTCTTCCTCCTCCTCCTCCTCCTCCTGCTCCTGCTCATGCTCTTGCTCA